GGGGAAGAGGGAGGGAGGGGGAGAGAGAGAGGGAGGAAGGGAAGGAGGGAGGGAGGATCATCGATGTGAGAGAGACACATTGATTGGTTGCCTCTGGGCCAGAGATCGAGCCTGCAACAGAGGTATGTGCCCTTGGCCAGAATCGAACCCAAGACCCTTCACTCTGCGGGCCAACACTCTAACCACTGAGGCAAACCAGCCAGGCTCTTACCTAACTTTTTACATGTGTATCAAAAGGAAAAATTCTTGTTTTGCACATTTAACAGTTTTAAGAATACTTCAATTAAAATATACAAATAAAGAAATTTAAATACTGTGTTAATATATTACTCCACATTTCTGGCAAACCAATAGTTCAATCAAAATGATCTAAAACACCTCTAAGCAGCCAACACAGAAGTCCAAGTCTAGGAATTAAGAGAAATACATTTAAACACACACAGTACACAATTTACTCAAATTCCTTCACTTACTACAGATGTTTCCTTATTTTTTCACTTACTCCTACTTCTGACACAATTCTAACAACTAGTTGGTTTGTTAAATAATAGCATATTCACAGTAACTTTAAGAAACTGCATTCTGCCTGGATACTCTTAAGGCTTAAGACATCAGGATGCATACACAAATTCAGTACTCTGGTTAGATTTGCTTCTCACAGGGCTCTGGGTTGGCGATTCTGAAAGCACTTTCATGTCATGTGACTAGGGCAAGACAGTCCCCCTCTCCACACCTCACTGTTCTCATCTAAATGGGAGCAACAATACTCCTCTGAAGAGTGGCTATGAGTAAACAAGGTGATACATGTAAAATCCTAGGAAGATCCTGCTCCTTGCATTGCACACAGTAAGCGCTCTGCAAATATCCGTAATCATCATCATTATCACATTTATGCCCATGATGCAAACACAAGGAGCTATTGTGCAGACACAATAGGTGAAATGAGTAAGCACAGGCTACACAGCTCACACCTGGCCCTCAGAGCAGTGCTGGTGAGTGGAAACTTCCTCACGTGGTGGGCCATCCCTAAAGCATTCCTGTCTCAGCTGAGTGCTGCTCCGGGGCTGTTACAGCTTCGTCAGCAGCTCTGGCACTCAGCAGCCAGGAATGGACTAAACATTAGCAGTTACACTACATAAAACGCAGTTCAAGGGCAGAAGTGCAATGTCAGAGTTCACCTCGAGGATTGTTCTTACCTGGCAAGTGGAAACAATAACTCATCTCCTAGCAGTAACAGAAAGGGTGAATTTATGATTGATTTCAAGTATCCAGAACTACAATATGCACAGCCCTCACAGGTATGTACCATCACAGCCCCGTGCACGCCTCGGCTGATCTCTGGTGTCTATGGGTGGCATTAGTATGAGCTGCCGTGCACAGGGTTCCCTTCACATGAGATCTTTTGATCAACAGGAATTATTGCAGCCGTATCCTAACAGACCTACTGAAACAGGTAACACCAGTTCAGGCAAGTCAATAACTGGCAATAGACAACTTTACAAAACCAATTATTGTTCCTCCAATAATAATAATCTGGATCAAGAAAAAGACAGCAGAAATCAAAGTGGTAAATTATTTGATAGTTTTAAACAGAAACTGTATAAAGTATCCACCAGGCTTCTGACTCCCTAGCTAGCCTGGTTTTGGAAATTACACAATAGCCTCAGGCACTAGGCACCTGTAAATTCCTGTTACCTCCTCACCTTTCCAGTCCTGATGTCCTGCTCTAGTCCTGATGTCCCGTGTCAGCGTTCTGAGCCTTCCAAATCTATCACAGACAGGTCAGCTCCTTTTATTCACCAATCCTCCAGACATATATCTCATCAATCCCAAATGCATCCTATCCTAATTCCCAATTTCAGTTATAATTTTTAAATTTGGGTGGGAAATATTTTCAGAATTGACAGACACACTGGTTCAGGGAACAAGAAGTCATTTCTACAGTTAAAAAGCAATACTTAGCACGTGGAGACAAAGCATACAGAAATTAAAATACATCAAATTATATAATTGTTGCCTAAAAGTCAAGTTATGAACTACCATCTCCAGTTCAGCTTTTTAGAAAACAAGTGAGGAAACACATCCAGGTGGCCTGGGAGGTTTATTTCATCTCTCTCCCTTCCCCATCTCTGGACCAAGGAGCTAGCTAGTTCAGCAGGTCAAGAACCAGCAATGAAAACCAGGCTGAAATGAGCTGACAAGGAACCCAGGCTCCCACCTCTGACAATCCAAGTTCCCCGTGTTACAGAGGAACCTAGACGTTCTGAAAATATGTGGAACATTATGGGGTGAAAGTCCTGTCTTGGAGCCATTTCCAAGGCAGGCTCCAGTGCCAGTCTATGCACCCTCTCGCCCGATGAGGGCCGGGGCAACACGTGTGCTCCTCCTCTGCCTGTGTTTCCCACTAAACATTGTTCAACGGCTGCACTGTGTCGTGTGTAGAATGAGACATGTGTCCCTGCCTGCCTAGCACATCCTCCTGCAAGGCTTTGGGCCACGTTTTTCCAGAAGCCTCCTCACCTTGAACTCTCACAGCCAGTGACAAATCGCCTTCAGATAAGGAAACTGAGTTCAAAGAAATATATGGCTATCTACTTACCCTTTATTATTATTTTTTAATCCCCACCTGAGGATCATTTTTCCATTGCTTTTCAGAGAGTAGAAGGGAGGGAGAGAGAGAGACATCAATGTGAGAGAGACACATCGATTGGTTGCCTCCCGCACGCGTCCCTACCGGGCTGAGCCTGCAACCAAGGTACGTGCCTTTGGCTGGAATCGAACCGGAGACCCTTCACTCCACAGGCCGACACTCTAACCACTGAGCCAAACCGGCTAGGGCAACTAACCCTTTAAATTAACAACAAACTAAGAATGTAATTGTTGCTAAAGTATAATTTTTAAGAAGTTTTAAAATGTGACTTTCATGCAGCTATAAGATGAAAAAATGCCAAACTCAGTTCATGAGGGTATCAGTACAAACTCGAATGGAGGCAAACAGAATTAGTAAAAGGAATTTGCTAATAGATGCAAAAATGGTAAATGCATTATAAGAGGGGTTCACCAAAAAAAAGCCCCAGGTGCTCAGGGCGACTCAGTGCACTAACAGGGACAATGTACAAACCACTACCGAGTTGTCTGAGCCTAACTGCTTGATAAAAGGAACTGTTAGCTATTTCGTCTGGCCTAGTGGCACCAGGAGAAAAGTACTGAAGCACTAAGAGTACCATAAGCTGAAAGGAAGTTTAGAAATCTCCAATAGAGGGCAATAGAATATCTGGTTCTCTCTTCTTCGGAGCAGAAATCATGTTGTATTATTACAGATAAGAATCATTGTAGGACCATCAGTCAACGCCCACCTTCCCACACTCACCCAGAGCTGCCAAAGAGCCTCATCAAGTGAGCGAGTAAAAGGTGTAACCCCCATGTATCATCACTGGAGAGGCCACTAGACAAGCGCAGCATTCTGCTGAAAGGACGCCCAGCAATCCCTTCTGCTCATTTCCAAGTGTACAATTTTCCCAACTTACACAGTGGCTAGTTCCAACAGGAGTAAAGAAAAGTCATAGGAGGGAGTGGAGAAGCGGTAGCTACAGTCCATGAGTATGTTCATCAAAACCTGCAGAGCATGCACTGCAGCAAGGGCACACTGAAAGGGACACTCTAAACCAGTGATTTTCAGCCAGTGGGTGGGCCGCAGAATTTTTAAAACATGCAATACCTGACATCTTCTCCCTTGTCAAATAAGAAAAATGACAACAGCCAACAAAACAATAGCCATCCCGTGGGAATGAATCAAAATTATATCTATTTTTGTCAGATCGGTAAAAAATATAGCATGTGTTTTGGTGTGCTGCACAATTTTAGTAATCAGTTTATGTGTGCCGTGGGATGACAAAGGTTGAAAATTGCTGCTCTAAAATGCTGCAATGGCATGTGTGACTTGCTGAACCTTTCTGGAAAGCCATCTAATAACACAGTAGATGTCATACAGGTTCAGACCTTTGATTCTTTAATTCCACTCCCAGAAATTTTCTTTCAACAGATAATGAGATGTGGACTAACATATACATCTATCTCACAGACGTTAATTATAAAGATTTTAAAATTATGAAACTTAAGCCTGTGTCCCACCTTAACTACCCTCCCCAGAAGCCTTCACTAAGTCCTGCAGCCTTCCCAAGTGCCCCACCTAACACCAGGATTTCCGCTACAGTGTCTTCATCACGCTGCACTCTAATTTCTGATTTACTACCCATTTGTCCTGCTAGTCTATAACCTCCAGGAAGGCTTGGACCGTGTATCTGAACTGCATGGATTTAGCATCATGCCATGTGCATAGAAAGCACTCAAATGCTGGCTCAAAAATATGTATGAGATAAAAAAGTAATTACAAGTATTAACAACATCAAAACAAAATTATGCATGGGGAAAGCCTCATGTTACATCCCAAGTATATTGATAAAATATCAGAATCATATGCAGGCATTTTGAAAAGCACACGGACTGACAACAAAGGGGACACGTACTTCAAGATACTGCTGATGCTGAGAAAGGCATCCACGCACCACATCAGGTGCGCCATTCCTGCACTGTGTGTGTCCTGATCGCACTATCGCATAGGCATTTCCACAGACTACAATAAATCTCAAAAGAAAACCACCTTATGGGGCTAGTTTAAAGGAAGTTTTGTATAATGATAACTATTTTCTTTAAATGTGATGGAGATTTTTGTTTTAATTATTTTAAAAAGGAATCTGGCATGTTCTTTAGGCCAGGGCTTCTCAAACTTTAAGGAGCATAAGACTTACATAGGAGTTCTGTTCAAAGGCAGATTCTAGTCTGTCAGTCAGTTTAAAGTGGGGCCTGAGAATCTGCATTTCTTCCAGCCTGCGATCCCCTCACCCCAACAATACCAATGCTGCTGATCTGGGGACTTTGAGTAGCAAGGTCTTAGCGCATCATACAAGGAAACTTATAAAAGCAGAGAACGGTATGCGAGGCTCCATTTTCCTGGCTGTTTGGAATCTGAAGCACTACTCCTCTGATGATTTATCAAAACCTGCCTCATCAGGATTCTCAACATCCTGCAGATGGTACAATTTAAAATAATGGAAAACACAGAAAAGAAAGAGGGGTCATCACTACAGATCTCATGGAAATTATAAGGTTAGTAAAGGAATAGTATGAACAACTCTATGGCAACAAATTTAATAATCAGGATGAAATGGACAAATTCCTTGAAAGATAATCTGCCAAAACTCACACAAGAATAGATGTTCTGAATAGACCTACAACAATTACTTGATTGCCTGCCATGTAACTGCAATATTTAGCCTGGAAAAAGAGGGAAAAAAAAAATGAGAAAAATCTGGTTAAGGTTTTTCAATACTTGAGGGCGATTAAGTAAAAAGCAAGTAAAAGTCTTCTGTACTATTTCAGTAAGAAAATAGAGTATTAAAGGTCAATTTCAGCTTATTTTAAATACACATTTCTAACAATCAACTGTCCAACAACTGTATACGCTTTCTCAAAAGGCAAGAGCCACCTGAGCATGTTCAAGCAAAACAGCTAAGTAGCCATGTCCGAGGGACACTAAGACACACCTGCCCTGAACACTAGGGGTTCCCAAGGCCCCTCCCACACAGGATTCACTGTTCACACCACTTTACTCAGACAGGGAAGGAACTGCAGGAGTTTTTCTACTAGAAAAAATAAAACTGCCTCAACACAAGCAGCAGCAACTGCGCCAGAAGCCACCACCTTACATATGACCTAAGAGTAAATCAAATGCTTAAATCCTCTGGAAGTCATAAAAACAAAAGAAGCTATTCCACTGTGATGAATGGAAACCTTCAAAGACAATGGCTCCATAAAGACGCAGCAACTCTCTTGGGATGAAATCCATTTGTTTGAGCATCTGTTTGCCACGTACAAAGAATAACTCTTTCTGATGGATTTAACCAAGGAAAAAAGATAATCAAGTTCATTTGATGGGAAGTTAAGCACAAACACACCTCATTTTTTCAGAGAACCTCAAAAGGCATCTGGTGTTAATGTATCAAAACCCACAGAAAACTGTTTTTTTGGTGTAATCAAACCATACATAACATTTTGGCATTGTGAATATTAAAACTGCCCCCATAGCTTCACTTGATATTTTCAACTGTTTCATCTGAAGGATTACCATTATTTCTGATAATGCTAGAAAGTATCAATTCACAAAATTCTTTTAAAGAATTAAGATTATTTTTAAGTTAACTTTAGAACATATAGCAATTAAAATGCTAATACGGAAAGATGGGGGATACTACAGAGACTTAATACCATAAAACACAGGCAATAGATTCTCTAGACGATGGGGAAAGATGGCTTGTGGAGTTAATGAGACAGCACTTAAGGCAAAAGGAATTATTTGGCCCTTTCCAATGAGGATAAAGCAAACATTTTTTGTCATCAAATATAATGAAACTAATTAAAAGGACAAAAATTAAGGCAAATATGAAAATCAAGTAAAATACAGGGAAAAGTTAAACTATATCAAGCACACACAGAGCAGTTATGGCAGCAAATCCTGAGTTAGAAACAAACTGAAGAGAACAGAAAGGAAGGATTCCAACAATTACGAGCTGCACACCAAGGCAGGCATGAACATCAGAAGACTCCAGGACTGCCTAGGTGGATTTCTAAATTTAGAAAATGGCAGAAGAGTAAAGTAAGAGGCTTAAAGCTTGAAACTTAAAAACCCACTACTTTGTCTCTTACAAAAATATCACAATCCTCAAGCAGCAGCTTTTGTCAGAGGTTTCTCTGCCATCCATAGAGATGAACGTTTCTTTAAAAATACCACTAGTTGTACAAGTCTCAAAGCAGCCATAGTGCTTTAAGTAACAACAACAAAAGCCATGTTGATATTAGGAAAAATATATAGTCAGAAAACCCAGGTTTTAGTCTCAGTTCTATCTCAACTACCTGTTTCAAAAGGCTTTTCCTTAGAAAGGAATGTTCTATTCCCTGTGTCTGAAGTTCATTCCAAAACAGAGTCCATGAGTTGCTCCTTGATGACATGAATAAAAATATTTGACAAATTATGATGAAATATATCACAAATTATTACTAAATACAGATCAAGTACTTCTCCTGAAAATCTAGCATCGGAACTGATGTGCTAAAAGTGTGAACTACACACTGGTGTTGATTTTGTACAAAAAAAAGTAAACGATTGCACTAATAACTGTTTATCCCAATTACATGTTGAAATTATAACATTTTAGATATTAAATAAAATACGTAACTAAAATTAACTTCATTTGTTTTACCTTTTCAATGAGGCTACTGGAAAATGTTAAATTACTATGAAATTATTTTTCTATTGTAGAATGAAAATTTAAATATATGATTTGTTTTGCAAAGAAATATAGAGTAATAAGAGGCTTTCTAGCATAAAACATTTATAATGATCAAATTATGTGGGGAAGAGAAATGGAACTTCTGATTCAGTTTATCATCTATGTTTAAAGTGAATGATGTTTCATATCAAATTGCTGTATTTTTTATCCTATCAGATCCAATGAAGACTGATTCAAAAGCTCTCTTTAAAATGTCAATATTTGTTTTGAGGGTTTAAAATGTGAAGGACAACTGTGCTAGATTTTAAAAGACTGAATGGAATGCACACGGGGTCCTAGTTTGGAACAAGCAACTGCAAACGTTATTTTTGGAACAATGGAAGAGTTTAAATATGGATGGTTCTAAACATTATTTTCCATACGAACAACTGTAAACCTACTTTTGCCCCACACTGCATATGTACTATGTTATAAAAAATAACATCTGTATTTTTATTAAGCCAGATGTTAAAACCTCTGTGCCTGTCTGCTCTGTGTCTTAAGATTGGGAAATAAACACGTGTTAAATAATAATTCCGAGGATGGTTTGATTCTCCAGTTTTATTTTAGCTAGAAAAGGTGTAAAATAAATCTACTTTACTTTCAGACACGTGGAGTTTTGAACACAAAGCTTCCTGATAAATACTGAAATGATCACACACTGAAGAACAAAGCGAAGAGAACCAGCTTTGCTGTGCAGCACTCATCTCCCTATCATATTCTCCCCACCCAGAAAACACCAGAAATCTTCAGTCAGGCAAGCGCTTCGGTCTGAGGAACCAATCTGAACGTCAAAAGGACACCTGGGTCCCATGCTCACTTTTGGAAATGCTGCTGGTCTGGCCAACACTGGGTAACTGAGAACTAGGACTTCTAATTTGCAAAATGTTTACGTTTGCCGATGCTTCACTTTGGGAAAGCTGTTTAATGTATAAACACCCAGCCTCTTCACTGTGTTAAACATATCTGGGTTCAGGTTCCAGGTCTGTCTCCTTCAGCTGTAAGTAAGACATAACCGTGTATGTCAACAGCTCAGCACAGGGAGTGACTGGAGAGCGAGGGGTCAGTGGCCCCTACTCTTTCTACTCTTGTCCTTTGATTGTTCTGCCATCATTTCTCCCAGGATGTGGAAAAGCTGACAAGTTCAAATCAAAGTCAATACCTTAAAACCAGCGATTTTCAACTGGTGTGCTGCAAGAATTTTTAAAACATACAATACCTGACTATTTAGTCAGGGGGACTGACCTTTTTACCCTTAGATTGTCAAATTAAAAAAATGACAGCCCAGCAGGTAGTGGCTCAGCGGTTGAGCCTCTCAACCTGGGATCCAGGTGATAGGGGTTCGATTCCTGGTCAGGGCACATGCCCAGGTTGCGGGCTCCATCAATGACTCTCTCATCATTGATGTTTCTCTCTCTCTCTCTCTCTCCCCCTCTCCTTTCCTCTCTCTGAAATCAATAAAGATATATTTTTAAAAAATGACAACAGCCAACCCAACCATAGCCACAAGAGCTGTCCAGTGTGAATCAAAATTATACTTTTTTTTTTTGGTGAGAGTGGCAAAAAATATATTTTCTGGCGTGCCGCAGAATTTCAGCGATTAGCGTCTGTGTGCCGCGAGGCAAAACAAAACCTAACGAATTCATGTGTTTACAGAAAACACACTTAAACATTAAAAAAATGAGGCACTCTGTTTCAATCACGAAACTCATACACCGGAAAAGTTCGGATACAACACACACAGAGTTCACCGGTAAATAAAAAATATATATATATTTAATACTGCGAAATTCCCACCCAAGTCCATTCCTACACCGAGAAGGGGCGCTGCTGGCAAGAGGCCTCAACCCTCCTTCAATCCCCTCCGCTTCCGCGGGGGCTGCGGTCGCGGGGAACCTGAAAGCAACTCGAATCCCGAAGCGGGGGGTCGGGTCTTGGAAACCACTTTTGCCGCTTGGTCATCTTCTAACGGATAACGT